GGGGTCAAAAGCCAAGTTTTTAAAGAAAAGTATACGGGTAAATTGGGATTTCCAGAGGGGCTGGAGGGTCAAGCCAAAACAACCCTTAAAGGGAGGGGCAGGGGCATTTTCTGGAACAACACATTGTAATAAATGGACTGTTTTGTAAGTCCAATTAAGCTAAATCATACATTCTGTTCCAGTTCTTCTATATTTGCACAAAAATCCCAGATGTTTTCCCACCACATCAAAAATCCTTTCCCAAGGTTTTTTTTTCTCATTCTTGCAAACTCTGGTAAGCCCTAGGTCTGCAGTTTATAATGAGCAAAGTGTTTCACTTGCTTGCAGATGGAACCAAAGATTTGTTTGACTATTTATTGATAATAAATTTAGTAGATTGTTATATGAGGAGAGGTTATCATAACAAGCCATTAATCTGAAGCATTATACAGTGTAAGCCAAGAGAAAATAAATTGCATTAGTCAAGTCAAATTATTGGCTTAAATTAGTTTGTTACAATCTTCATTTGTACATTAAAATGCTTTTTTTAGCCTTTTCTAAAACACTAATCAAAATGAATATCTAACTCTAAAGATAATGTATATTAGGTATTGCAACATTAGAACTGTATTTAGACTTGCATTAGTAAAATGTTTTAACAAATAAATGTTAACCTTTAATATTAGCAATGTTAATTTTAAATAGCAGTACACAGAGATGTTACATGTAACATTTTACCATCAATAAAGAGGTTGGCACATATAGTTAATGCTTACATCATACAAAGTCAGTACCATGGAAACAAGTCACTACACAGGGGTACTGGCTTGGGCTGTTCAAAGGTTGGATAATGATCTACTTGAGAACTCTTACTATCCATTGAATAAGTGCTCACAAAACAAACTGTGCTCTCTCCACTAGACATAGATACGTATATCCATCCTCTAAATTGAACCACTTGTGCCAGCTGTATGATAGCAGTGCTGGTTACAAATTTACACCAAACTCTACACACCCACCTGTACCACTGGGCATGTATTTTACGATGCACCCTAGAGCGGTTTTCAGTTGAGTGTAATAAAGCCAAAATTAAACAAATTACCTACTACACATGTATTAGACTACTCAGCCAATCTCAAACCACGGTGAAGCCAAAAACAAAGTCACAGTAATTGCCTGATTACTTTCGACCCTCAATTGAAAACTGCTCTATTTCACCAGTAGTGAAAGCTGAAAAATTAAATTTTCTAAAACTACAGAATAAATTACACTATACAGTCATGTACATGACATTTCACTGGTTTGAAGAAGAAATCATACCTTTAACATAAAACTTGGAGTTTGCCACATGTAAAGATCTTCCTCTAGACAAAGGACCCAAAGATGATGTCCTGCCAAGGAAAGAGTACCCCTCTGTGTTGACTCCACGGGCAACTAAAGACTCCTCCAGGGTTTCTTCAGGTCTTTGGAAAGTTCTAACACTAGCAGCTGAACTGCTAACAGAACATGCCTGGAAAAATTAAGATTCACTTCGTTAAAAATGAAATGAACAAAATATCAAAAGTAATGGTAACTAACTTCGACATTTCGATCCATCTAGCATCATTATCAAGAATGAAAATTTGTCAAACCAAGTGATTAAGCTATCGCTAAAAATGCAATCGGACTCAACTGAAACGAAACTATTCTTTTTGCATTTTTGCATAAAATCAAGCACAGGAATGCCATGTAATGATATTCAACAGACTCAAACCTCAACTCTTTTCACAAATCTGACATTTAGTAAAAAGTGTGACCTGTGGATACTGTAGACAGCATGAATAACAAAACCCGTCATCAACTAAGGAGATGTTGTCAACCAGATAAACAGACTGAAAAAATATTTAAAAACATTTCTGCCTATCAGCTTTTGGACACTGAAAAAGATAGATCAAAACCATATCAAAGACCAAAATTGTCAACGACCTTCTGAAACATGCAATATAATTATATTTACAAAAATATGAACTCGTGTTCTTCTTATTTATAAATATTAACAACTATTCTAGAACAATTAAAACATTTAAAAATAACTTTTTATGTTCAAAATGTTTGTGGCTTAATAAATTCAACACTTTGACACAAAAGCTAGTATTCCCAAGATGAAAAAAAGTTGAAAGAGAGATCTAAAGGATATTGAACAATAAATAACAAGAACATCTCACCTTTCTTAGCGGTAATGGAGAATCCTCAGGGGTTCCTTCTGAGGCAACTTCATCACCATTAACAAGAACATCAACCAGGCTAGAGACTAGTGGAGGATGGGACATGATCAAAAGTATCTGAAAAGTATAAGAAACATTCATTCACAAGTCACAAAATTCTCATTCACTGTCTGGAGAGTTGGGTAGGATAAGAGCATGGATGTGGAGCACACAACCATAGTAACAACATGGCTTGAGACATTCAGAGTGTAAGGACTGTTAAGGGAAACAGATGGACAGATGGACAAGGATGGGCAGATAGGTACTAACATGGGGATGTTCGATAAAGTCCTTGTTATCAGGGTCTGAAATTGCGCTTTCCTGGTCGCCAATGCGACTAAACATTTTGCACTGGCAACCAGAATCTTACCACTGGTCGCCAGCGGGCGATTAACTATTTCATGCTACGATAATTGCACAAACAAGAACTTTGATTTTCAGCCAAATCGATTAAAATAAAATTCAAAGCCGCCCGCCAATTGGTCACTTCCTTTTTACCTTGCCGCTGCTTTTAAAGTATAAAACCGATTTTCCTGTTATCATAAATCTACCACACATTTTATAGCTGCGATCAGTGCGGAGCTTCGCCGCCACGTTTTTTCAGCAGTTTCCCATAACATAACGTATTGCGGGAGCAAAGGAGGCCCCATGCGTTCTTTCGCCATGAATATTTATTCAGGCGATGTGGTGTCCAAAGATGTTGTGAAATCTTTCCGTAATTTATTACAAAGTGGAGACGAAACATTTGTGAAGAAATTAGATGAAGATTTAGATATTCTGTGGGTGTCAAACGGTGGAAATGCAGATCTGTCAAAGTGGTCAAAAGATGATTTCTGCACTGGTTTGATTCCTGATTTCATCAAATGCAAATATTTTGCCAGCAAGCCCAAAAATTTTGGTTTGTTTTTCGCTGTGAAGGAAAAATTTTATTGACACTTTTTGGCGACCACATTTTTCCATATGGCAACTGCGAAAAAAATTTCAGTCACCAGTTGGCGCCTGCCGAAAAAAGTTAATTTCGGACCCTGGTTATTGTTATTACTTACTTGGGAAAGAAGGAATAAAGCCACCATCACGCCAAGTCGAGGAGTTTCCTTGAAAAGAGGAGTAAGAAAATTATTGTCGAGATCAATAACATACAGTTCATCTGGCCCCAGTTGTTCAAGGGATGGGTAATGCTCTCAATCAGATAAATAACTACATGTATAGTGCAGTTTGTTTCCCAACACTTATCCAGTGGATAGCGGTTTATCTGCTGCATAGCATTACTCCCCCTCTAAAATTAATGGATCATAAAACTTAGTACTAATCAACACAATGGACAAATCGTACTAGGTGAAAACCTTTCAAAATTTTAAAAACAGACAATCCATCATGTTTCAAGTTAAAGATGTCTACATTGCATATGAAATGAGCAAAATAGAACATCATATATACTGTACACACTTTACATGGAAGTGGTACTGCTGCATGGTTTGCACCTTTGGCCCTGAATTGTGACTTAATGGCCGCCTTATGTTTCATACAAATGTAGGTTTAAGTAGACTGAACACGTACGATCATTTACCTGCTCCATATCAGGTCTTTTTCGAACCAGGGAGTAGATGTATAGAGGAATCAATAGACGGTTGATGAAATGTCCAGTTAACACATCGTTTACATCTTGGATATTAAGTGACAGGATATCATGAAGGTAGTGCAGATGATCTAAATGCTCCGCAACCAAGTCCTTCAGTCTGTCGCACTTCAGGTGGCTAAAGATACACAGGCAAAACCTCAGATTGTTTAGAAAGACAGCCTTTAATAATAAACAGTGAATAAACTAAAATTGTGTAACAGTATCACTGTAGAGCCTGACCCAATAGACCTTTCCCGCATTCTGCATCAGAGTGTACAAACAATAGTACCGGAACGAGGTTGGGGAGGACGTTTTCATATGTTTGCTGTATTTTTGCCCACCCTGACCTTGACTCGATGTCGTTGTCTTTTGGAATGCTCGAAAGGTCTATTACTGACATGTACCTAATTAATTTTGCAATAGGCCATTATTCATTCCATTCATTATTAATGTTATCTAGTTATATGCATAAGCGATTAATGGCCCACCAAGATTAGCACTTGCTATCCGTGGGCCAAATAACATGTAATTTTAAGATGACTGAAAATAAAGATTATTGCTGTTGTTGTTTATCAAGGGCAAAATCACCCCCTGAAAGATTCCCTGAAGATTACCTGTGGGAAACTTCATGTACCAGAGGTGATGGGTAGAGTTTTAAATGCCGAACAGGTACAACTCAAAGACAAACCACACAATTTCTAAAGATTTTGGAACATGGCCAAATGAGTTCACAGAGATTTCCAAAGATGGCCTGAGGACTTCCTAAGATGAATTTGGAAAGGGACTACATTATTTTTTTCAAAAATCTTCTATAAATGTTCTGCTCCCTCTAGTTCAGTCACCCTTAACAGTACAATACTGTGACATTTGTCTAATACCATCAGCCCATGCTTTGTTCTTACGATATTTTGGTGATACAGTGTCTCTGTAATAATTACACTGTATATCACAATAATCACCATGATCATAATTTGTCAAATAGTAAAGTTCTGTAATCAATTTGTAGTCACATAAGAAAATGAGAAAAAGCTTACTGAGACTCTTTTAGGACACAGTTATCAAGTTCAATAGCATGATTGCCAATAAACCACACCAGGTTCCAAAAGTATGGATCTGCTGTCTTGTCACGGATAAAGCTGAGCATGTTCTTATCTCCAACTGTAATTAAGTAAAAAAAATATCTTCTGACAGTTGCTACAAGACATAAGAGATAACAGTTATCAGGAGAATAAGTGCATAACTGAGAAAAAAAAACTTGGCATTTTTTGTACTTGTAAATTTAATAGCACTAATTTAAAAACACCAGCCTAATATAAAGCTAAGAAAGAATTTACTGTTAGCAGTGACTGTTACATTACTCATAGTCATTTAAATTTGGGTGGATAATTTCTGTGGTCATTACTGGTATCAACTGTGAAAATGTTTGGCATGATCACAGTGTTCAATGTAACTTTTTGGTAGGTCAATAAACAATGTATACTCTTTCCATGTCATGAGGATAACATTTTAATATATCTTTCTTTCATGTGTGCCAAAAGTAATTTGTAATTTTGTTTTATTAATAACACTTTTATACATGACCATGGTTTTCTTTTGCTGACCTAATTAAAACTTTTGTTAAAAAAATTTAATGATGCACAATTTTTAGTTCACTTGTTTGCATTCACTAATCTTGCTAGAAGCTTTGGGAGGTGGGGGTCTGGAATATGGCAGATATGTTTTTATCGAAAATACTCACCTCTGTAGACATTCAAGGTGAGTGTCCTGACTGCTATTCTAACCATGCTCTCAGAATGGTTGAAGAACTTGATAGCTTCAGTATATAATGGGAAATCATTCTTGTGCTACACAACAAGACAAAATTGTGAATTATATTGCTTAGATATATCTATATGTCTGAATTTATGAAAAAGGTGTCAAAATGGTGTAAATCCTTTTTGCCTGACTGCCGGTGATGAACACCTCTGCGGTGCTTCAAAATCTGGTGGGCTTGCTATCAAGGAGGACTGTCCCAAAGAGCCCTGGCTACCATCTGCTACCAAGTCGGGCCCAAAGGGGCCTTAACCAGCAGGGTGGGGTAGATCACATAGTACTTAAGGCGTTTTTGATTAAATAAACGGGTCATGGGTGAGTTGGCTGAGCAGTGAAGAGCTACCTTTGATTGATTAATTGATTGATTGAAAAAGCCTGCATGTGTATTTCCTGGAAAAGCTGCAGGCTTGTGATGTTGAAATTGAAACATTTTTCAAAAATTCAGACATATATTTAATAGAATGTAATACTAACAAAAACTTGTTTTAATTTAACGACATGTACACTCAAGTGGGATGCTTGGTCCAACCTTGAACTAAAAGAATTTAAATATGAGGTTAGTGAACAGCTCTTTTACATGTACATTCCCTTGAAAGTCTGGATTTGTCTGGCAGGGTTCTCTTGGATCCCAAGGAAGCAATAGCCACAGGAGGCCTTCATATTGGCTTTTTCTCACTGACTTAATAATACCAACTAATTGATCTAATTGAATAAGCTTATTATTTCCTCCTGGCCAAAAAAATATAGGTTGAAACTTGGAAAGCTGCCTGGGTCTTGGCAAGTATTTCTTAACAAAAGGATTTACTCAATAATTATTGTCTCAATAATCAACCATTGATGTCATCATAAAATTAATTTACATGTAGTCTAAATGTAGGAGACTTGGAAATGACGTGATTCACTCACCTCATTGAAGAAAAAGTGAACAGTGTGTCTGTTAAGCTTGAGAGATAATGTCTTCAGAAATGAAATATAATACGCTAACACCTGAACATAACAAAAACACACAATTTTAGAAGTAGAACTCAAACTTACATTGTTTTCACAGATTATAATAATATAGCAGGAATAAAATGTATGACACAAACATCTTACCTCTTCATCGGAAAAGTCGAATTTATGAATAATAATGGAATTGACACTGTTATTTGATAGCAAATAATCTGAAAATAAAAAGAACCCCCTTGAGTAATAAACAAGGTAAAATGTTCTCACAGTATGCTAGAAAATAATGCATGGGTAGTAACAAGTCTCAATATACATGTACATTGTACACATAACTTGGCAAGACACAAGAGCCGAATTACATGTAGCCACAGTGTAGACTGGAATAACTGCAAGGCTGCTGCCTAACGGGCGCCCGGTCGCCTGGGGCGCCTAGCTTACGAGTGCGGGCGACTACAGTTTTGTCCAAGGAGCCCGAGTGGGCGCCTAAACATGGAGTTTTGTTTCCCATGTAATATGTCCGATGACTTCAATCTTCTCATGAAATTGGTCAAAAAATCGTTCACAAAATAAATTAAACGGAAAACAACAGCTACTCTGGTCCTGTTTTGCTTTTATCACGAGAAATCTGGGCAAAAGCACGGCAACAAAGTCTCTATCCGCTCACGAAACAGCCGAAAACAGCCATGTTTGAAAATCGCCCTATAATGCATTGCAAGCTCAGTATTGAATAACTGTACATCATGTATGCCAATGG